CTGTTTATCGATCCTTTTCCACGGGTTTAAATGGCATAACAATCGATATATCGCAATTCACGCCTCGCCACTGTGGCCGTCGCGTCCGCGTCGGAAAACGCAGCTCGGAGGAAGTCAACTACTGCACTGAGGAAAAACGCCGTATGAACATCCGAATGTTGCCGAATTTCCGTTCAATTTTGAGGAGATTTATGAGTATGTTTCATTGAAATTTTCAGATACTGAAGATAAAATTGCGAGATAAAATCTTTGAAAATTTGAGAGAAAAATGTCCCCAAGTTTCCTTGGACATTTTCATTTTATCAGAAGAAGTTTGGCAACGTCTAAAGGCTCCAGAGGCGGATCCAGTAATTTGGCAACACTGGATTCCCTCCATTTAAACCTGTGTTAAATAATCGATTCTTGTCAAAGCCCCTGACCCCTCCAAGAATCGATACATTTCCATAGGTTTAAGTGGAGAAAAACAATGTTGCCATCTGCTGGATCCGCCAATGAAAGGCTCGCACGGAGTTTTTCCTTAGCATGGTAGTTATGCAAGCGCGTTCGAATTGGCATCATACTGCGGGCTGGGATGCTATCTAAAAGCGCAAAGTCCCGGAAGTGCAATAACCAAAAAGGCAAGGACGGTCGGCAATAAGCGCGAGAATGCACAAACCTAAAACGCAGATTTTAAGCACAAGGAGTCATCCCAAAGCGCAAACGTGAAACTCAACCTAAACCTACCCTAAACTAACCAAACCCATCCTAACGGAACCTATTTTTACGCTAGGTAAGGTAAAGTTAAGCCAGGTATTGACTACTTGATTCCCTCTTTCCATCTGTGCCTCACTGTTGTCCCAAAACCTTACACCATTTTCGTGAAGGAGCCACCATTCAAAAGCGCGCTAATATGCACCTTTGACTCTTGCGATTTCGGAAATTTGCGCTTCCGGATGTCTCGGGCGGGCCGATTGTCGAAATCAATAGATAAAACGGTAGACAAAGAAAACATGGAGAGATCCTACTGGTTGAAGCGGGTGGTTGCAAACTGGTGGTTGGTGGTTGGAACAGAGGACGGAAATGTTGAGCTAAGTACGAGTATAGGGTCTCTCGTGGATCGCCGTTAGTCAGTCTGTCACTTACTTCCTTTGTCGATTGCAACCAACAGCTTCCACCAATAGAATCACTCCATTCTCCAGTTGTCTGCTTTTTCTGTTGCTTAGTCTATCAATTTCAATGATCACTCCGCTGTGCGCATGACCAGCGTTCAGCGCGATCGGGAAGCCATGCCAAGACGACCTTTTTCTTTAACTTTCGTTTGAGTCTCCAGGAAAAACGTCATCGAGGTGAAGAATGGCGAGTCTGTAGACAACCCGTAGGTGCTGTTTCTCAGTACGTGATCGCTTACTTATACCGCCTTTGTATGACAATGCAGCCATCCACTTTAGCCAATAGGATTGCCCCATTTTCTCTGTGTCTTTACTGCGTATAGTTTTGTCGGTCATATTAAAAAATCAACCCAGTGCGATATCGGGGTTGGAACCTGATACAAAATTATATGTTTTTCCCATCATATGTACAAGATATCTCTTACTTTAAAGGAGCTCTTGCTCAGTTCTTGCAAAAATAATTGACTTCTAATAACTGTAACTCTCTACAGCCGCAAATTTAAATCATTGCGAGCATTATAAGGCGCGTCCACGCACACCCAATATAACGCCTTCAACATCGGAGAAATACTTCCAACGCTACACCGTTTTACACATGCTTCATGATGTGCAAATTGCCTACACTACGTGCCGGAGTGTACAGTGTACATGGTGTTTCGAGGTGCTTTTCATGCAAGACGCCCCTACAAGCCTTCCTGCAAGTTGTTAGGCGCCTCTAGTGCCACACAATTTCGCAGATTAGTCGGCCTTCTAGACAATGAAGCTGTTGCAAGTGTCAGGGATTTGCGATTTGAGTGGTTTTCCTCTAGTAAAAGTTTGCGATAAACACGATGATGCCACTGGTTTTCTCTGAAATAAACTACCTAGGTAAAAAAAAGCTGCTAAAGTTGAAGCCCTAATGGAGATGATCCCTCATGCCGCGCAGAGTCCACCGGTTCATCCAGTCAAACTCTCCATCTTCTTCTCTGATACTAATGATTGTTAAATATTTTCTTTACATTTATCAATTTAATATATTCAAGTGCTGTTTTATTAGAATGTAAAGGTAGGGAGCAAATACATCAGCAGGGTTGCCGTAGTCACGACCCTGGAGTCCCTAAATAAGGTGGAAACCCTGGTGATGTAATTATTCCCTACACATGGAGACCGTTCTCCTATTGCATAGAGTGTTTGAATGGATACAGAGCTGGACTCTCAGCGTGGAATGGGGAATTTCCTTCATTACAGCCTCAACTTTTAAAGTTTTTTTGAGCTTGAGGGCTGGTTCCAGAGAAAACCAGCGGCACCTTCGCATTCCTCGCAAAATTTTACATTTGGGAAAGCACTTACATCGCAAATCTCTTACGCATGCAACACTTCCATTTTCATTGTTCGCCATTGATCCTTGTAGAGATTTACTGGGTCGGTCTCTATGATTTTCGCTGCTATCGGTTTGTGATAACCGTAGATGGATCCGCTCTCTTTGAACTTTTTAAATAAAACCCAATCAACGACGCACGGCGGGACGAGTCTTTGGAAGAAGTCGGATATGAACTTTTTGACATGAATTGTAAAATTTTACGTTAATCTCGTCACAATTTTAATTTTAAGGGGTGATTTTAATATAAAATTTTACGAGGAAACCGATAAAACTAATTTAAAACGTCAAAATTTCGTATTCTTGAAGATGTACGCTTTTAAAGTTTTTAAATCATGTCCGTCCTCTGCTATTGACTCGATCCAATATGCGACGCTTCGAGGACCCAGAACGCCCTCGGGGGGTTGGGCTGCGTAGCAGTCAGGGACGTGCAATCGAGTAAAGTCAGTCCAAGGAACCGAAAGTGCCGGTCATGGGAACCCAACTTCAGTTCTGATGCCCGAAGTTTTTGGCTCGTATTCTTCACCGGAGATTTTGGTTATCTGAATAAAGCTCGGTCTCGATGACTGATTTTGGTTATCTAAACTAAGGGCATTAGTATTGCGTAAACTGAAATTTAGCCCTTGTGGTCGAATTTTTTTTTCTCAGTTTTTGTTTTATTTAGGGCCCAGAGAGCCTTTAAATTGAGGGTTATTGTAGTTCTGTTGTCATTTACTTTGTACACTGCGGTAGATATTTTGCAAAAACTTGATAATGATCGGACATCACCTAAGAGATGGCGCTAAAACTGCCTCTCATCCCCAGAATATCACCAACTCTCTAGAGTAAAGGCTGGACAAACAGGGCTGTTTCGAGTGAAAAGGGTAGAAAAAGAATAAAAAGATGATAAGGTCTATATCGGGATTTTGATGACCTTCACACAAAAGTCTGCCTAGATCCAAATCAGAACGTTATTCGCCTCTACCTTTATCTTAACCATATTTTCATTGCAATCAAATTATTTACGAATTTCCAACGATCTAAGCGCGTACCGCGCGTGGTGTACGCACAATGCGTGAAGCATTCCTGCAATCTTGTAGGCGCCAACGTGCGTTCAGGTTTAGCGCGCACCGTGGTATACGTGCAATGCATGAAGTATTCCTGCGGTCTCGTAGGCGCTGGTTTGCGTTTCGCACCGCTCGCACTGCGTTGCGGAAAAATATTTCTCTTCGTAGCACTGACTAATTGCTCAGGAGAGAAAACATTTCTCTCCCAGGCAGTAACTTATTGTTCCAGAGAGAAAATATTTCGCTCCCTAGCACTAACTAATTCCTCAGGAAAGAAAACATTTCTCCACCAAGCAGTAACTTATTATTCCAGGGAGAAAATATTTCTCTTCGTAGCACTAACTAATTGCTCCGGAGCGAAACCTTTTCTCTCTGGAACAATAAGTTACTGCTTAGGAGAGAAATATTTTCTCTTCTAAGCAATTAGTTAGTGCTACGGAGAGAAATATTTTCTCTCCGGAAACACAGCGAGTCAGCGTTTTCCAGCTCGGTATCACCATTAAGTTTTTGCACACTCTGTATAGACTATCATCATTTGACATGATAAAAAATTACACAAAATCCAACTTAAAAATGTTTTTAATAAAACTGCATATGTTTAAAAACATTTAAAAAGAACTGAAGATTTACCGCATTAAACATTTTTACGTCGGTTTGAAACGCTAGGGAATATGAAAAATAGAGAAGTTTAATGAAAAGATTATATTTATTTTTGTTAGAAACTTATTGATCAAAAAATAAAAATTATAATAATAATATTACAATAAATTATACTACAATACAACAACACTGGACAGTTCGAATTTGTAAGAGCTAAACATGTCCTATATTTTCGTGGATTCATTGCTTTTCCCAGTAAATTTTACTGATAACACAAAATCATAGACAAGCCGACAATTTTTTAGAATAAATCGGTGGTTTTATTGCATGCAAAGAAACTACTCGTGCCGGACTTGATATGAATATCTGCGATGGGAGCTTTTTGAACTCGGTTTTAAAAGCTCAATTAGTTTTAAAATACTCTAAGGTTTAAAGTTCAATTTGTTGTGGGTACAATACTCTTGATGTTATCATGCAATTCTTAACGTTCGAAATTCGATAGTTTGAGAGGCTTAGGAGGATATTGAAAAAAGTGGACCTTAATGAAAGTTATACAAATCACCTGGCTAAAATAAATTTTCAGGTAAACTTACAGTGATGTTAAAAATGCTTTTAGTACCTTGCGTCATCACTTCTCATATTCAAATGTATATTCAATATTCAAATATTCTATTAAAGATTTAACGGTAACCAGAGTTTTGATTATTTAATCCAAGTTAGTGTTCACCTAATTCAGCTCTTTCGTCTAGTGAAACCTGATGGGAAGTGTCCCAAAAATTGGTTCACCTTGAAGAGAATCAATTTATTTTTAAGAAAAAATCTCTATCAAACGTTATATTTCAATCAAAAGAGTGTATTTTAAGTCAACATTTGATTAATGTATAAAATAGTCAACGTTGAACTGAAATTTTTCAAACTTTTTATCAGTAGACATATTTTTCTGTTTTATAACTGATTACTCTTTTCCAGTAGCAATGTTCCTCAAAGAAAGTCTCACTCTACACACGGATGAAACTTATTTCATACTAAAAAATAGGAGTCTCGCAATTGTTCGGATCCTTCAAACAACTTTATTGACAACACGATAAACTGAACAATGCGTTTTTGACCGGCTATTGTTATGGAAAGTCACTAAAATTTAATTTAGAGTATTTGAAAAAATTAACAACCTAATGCATTACATGTCAACATAGAACTTTAGTCAGTGTAAAATTGAATGTAGGTTTTCAAAGCAATAAATTAAGGTGGTAAATAAGAGTTAAAATCACAGTCATTTTATACATATTTTTAGCAAAAACTTTAAAAATATAAATACAATTAACTATATATAAATAAATAAATAAATAAATGTGAAAAACGAAGAACAAAAATAAATAATTTAAAGCTATAATTATATTATACAATAGTTGTAAAAAATGGCTCTCGAGCGATTTAACTTCCAGCTCATTATTTGAGAACGCCGTATTTATGATTGATGCCGTTTTGCTTTCCTCTTTTTAATTTTCAATTCCGACTGCTGAAACAGTTATTTTTCCCTTTCTTAACTTTCTCATTTAAATTAAAAAAGAGAGGAATGAGCAAATCTCAAATTACATCAATAGCGCTGGAAAACGTCTCGATGGCCCATGATTGCAAAATTAAGTTGGCACCATGGAAAAATTGCGAAAAATCCGGGTAAAATTTAAAACAAAATTATCAATCGCTGTTACTGAATTCAAGCACAAAATAATCAGTAGCAAAGGCTGCCTAATATCATGTGAAATGTATTTATCTCTACAGGTATTTAACTTTAGTAAAACGTTTAAACGTTGAACTAAAAAGAGACTGAAAAATCAAACAAAATAAGAACCAAATTATTTATATACATTATTATGCAATAAATAACCTGGTGAGATATCCTTCAAATTTTGACTGTCATGTCACCGTCGTCTAAAATATAATGGAACGTTCCCGCAAGTGTCATTCTCAGTCAATTTGCATCACTATACATAACGGAGGACAAAAGTCAAAATTGAAAGGATTCCCATCAAAGCTGTGAATTTTACTTTACTGAACCAGAGACCGATAAAAAAAACAAAATAGAAGAGAGTCTTTTAGAAAATCTGAAAGTAAGAACTCTCTTCTGCTCGGAAGAACAAAACATACTCCGTAGTATTTAAAAAAAAACATCAAGCACGGAATACCTATACATTTATTAACTTTAAACAAATTTTATAATTCAATCTTCACATAAATGCAGGGGATCGCAAAATTCCCTTTTAGAATGTTTTCTAGGCGAGCTACTGAAACGAAACTCGAGGAATGTTTCTTGGTCAGAGACGATTACTGAAAAGTACTACTTAAGCACCACTACAGTCCTCCTCCTTGACCAAGAAACATTCCCCGCGATTTGTTTTAAAGACGCCATTAAGACAAAATTTTAAAAGAGGAACTAAGGACTTTTGGAACACCCTATATATCGGATCACAAAACCGATATCGGAAAAGTAGTCACTACAGTTGACGTTGTTTTATATTTTTTTTTTTTCGTGCAGAAACCTTAGTCAGAACTATAACAATCTATACACTCACTCTCATGACGATGATGAAAGCAAGAATTTGAAAAGGAGTACCTTCTTTAAATTTGATGTCTCTATGACTTGGCAATTGTGTAATTTTCTCAAAGAAAAGAAATGAACGTTACTCCATAATTTATAAAAGAAATTCTAGTTATACCTGATTCGGGAGAAAATTGATAAAAATTTCTTAAAATATATTCAATAATTAGTTTTCCGAAAAATTAAGAGACAAATACTTGAAATATCATAAATTGAGATACGTCTTTTTCGACTTTCACCATCGATTAGCTCTTAGCTACTGTTAACTGATCGACATGATTATAAACAGTTTAAAAAAACATAAGTCTTGCACAGGAATCTAACAATAAGCCCTGCTAATTTTAAGACAAACTTATGCGTCGAATCTTATCAGCTTTTGACTACAAAGGCCTGACTGACCTGATTTTGGGGACGAACAAAGGACTATCACCCAAGAAAGTGTTCAAATTGAATGCCCGTTTTAACTCCCTTCCGGTGTCTGCAGTTAGAGGAAGAGGTTTAAACTAGCACCCACGCTAAATTTTACTAAAGGATAAAACGACCATTTTTTACGTCTTTGGTTTGTATCAGTCTGGTTATGCGACTCCTCATTACGATGAGATCACATTTCAACGACCTCTGTGCCGTCCATGGTGGTTCTGCAAAATTGAGAGAAATAAGATTAAACAGATTGTTTTTTGGTTCAAATATCGTTGTGTACAGAATTTTTACATTTGACAATTATGACGTGAGTATTTTTACATCTGACAAGTATGACGTGACGTGAGTAGTAGGTCTCAGCAAATTATTTTCCACGCATGCGCTACCTAAGCAGTCTGGACCGAGCCAATAGGAGAAGTCGGACAAAATCTGGAAACTTTGAAAGTTTATAATTTTTAAAAAGTGAAACAAAAAAGTTTAAATGCCATTCCATTGGGTATCTCGCGAAATTTACTTTGTGAACACCCCTTAAAATTGAATTTGTGACGCAAAGTGAACATCAAAATTTAAAATTCAGGCGAAAAATTGCATGTCCAACCTTTTCTACTAGCACGTTCCCTTGTGCGGAGGCATTGATTGGCCGCGGATGGTTCGAATCGTGGATATTCGCGGATGATTGAGACTCCATAGTAGATTCTTCTTTGATACTTTACGTTTGATTTTTGTATTATGTATAATTCGTTTTTACTGCCAGAAATGCAAAATTACAGAAACAATTTCATGAATTTTTTTTTTAAAAATTCTGCAACAGACTTAGTATTCCATAAAACGTACAGGAATAGTAAAATCTTAATCATGAAATTTTTGAAAACAAATTAATAAGTCAAATTTCGAAGTTCCTTATCGGATTCTCGGAAAACCCTTGCAGGTTGCATACCCAGTCCCTGAAAAATCGTTGAAATCTTATGAAAAATGAAATTTTGTTTGGTATCTCTGCTCTCGACGGAGTGAATTCAGCGCTTTGGTAATGCTGCACATTTCTATCAAAAATTTTAAGAACTGAATTCATCAAATAAATAGACAATAAACGTTTCCTTGAAACATTTACCTCCAACCATCATGGTCACAATTTCCCCCTGACTTTTACTTTCTCACGCATTTGAGTACTCATTCTGGCATTTAAATCGGCCGCCATGCATCAAGATTTTTCCCTCGTTCGGCATAGCACGTGACGCGCGCACAATTTTCGACTCACTCTCAGAACGACTGCTACTTAGTCCCCCATTTTATTGTTCCCAGATCAATACGAGCGCGGCGTCGGTGAACTACCGGCGACCAGTTCCGTTCGGCCAAAATTTCTTTGTGTTTCAATGGCGTTGAAACGAATCGGCCGTGGAAAATTTCGCGGCGCTTTCGTCCTCCAGCATTGCCAAATATCCCCATTCCTGCACGAGTCTCGGGGTGTTTTAGACGAAATTCGGCAACGCTCGTAGGCGGCTCGAGCCGCGATCACGAAAGTCTGGGAAACTGGAAGCGAGTATTGCCCGCGGCCGTGGCGGTATCATTGTTCCAGTGACATCGTCCAACTTGCGATTTCTTTTTTTTTCTCATTGTAATTGCTCATTGCTCGCGTTTTGAGAGCGATTGCTCGAGTGCGGAATTAGCCGGCCAAATACACACAACCGGCCATAAAAATGAGAGAAACCATCCGCTGGAACAATTCGCACTCTCTTAATTTTTCCCGCCACCGCGCCGGCCGCCGCGCATCGCTGACATGCGCGCTGCAACGAGCAGCGACTCTGGATCTGATCAGCTGCATCCGCGGCACTGCTGCCAAATTGCGCCGTGATTCACTCAAATTTGAGTATTTTCTGATGCGTGCGCGGTAGCCAAAAATTTAGGTACTTTTCAACCTTCCCCTTCCTTTCCAGAACAAAAGGATTGCATATTGCAAAAAAGAACCACTAGCATTGCAATGATGCTAAGATTGTGCAACTTCATCCTTTACAATAAAATTGCGGAAATTGTGAAAAACTATGAAATTTAGATGGTAATTTTCGTCTTAAATTTACAGTTTTTAGCGAGTAAAATAGAAACTATTAATGGATAATCGGGCTTTTCCTCCAAGACAAAAGAAGTTGCACAATCTTAGCAACATTGCAATGCTAGTGGTTACTTTTTGCAAAATGCAATCCAAAAGATCGAACTACACCCCTACTCAGAAAGCGTTAAAGAAAAGTTAGTAGGAATCTACCACATCGGCAACTAAGCCCGTTAACGTTTTGGAAATTGTCAGCTGAGAAAGTTTTTCCATTCATCGGTCCAGCGTGTGATTTACGCATCCGTCGGCGAAATGTAAATGCTCAATAATTAGACACGTTTCCGCCGAAATTGATACATCATGGTCACCTGGGAGATTTGTCTGTTGGCTGTCTCAGTGTCCCAGCGAACACGCCACAAAGTGGATCGAGTCAATTAGAGAGGTCGGACATGGAATTTTTGACTAATATTACAAATTTTGACGTTTATTTCGTCACATTTTAAATTTCAAGAGGTACTGCAAGAAGAAAATTTTACGATGAAACCAATGGAACCACTTTTAGAACCTCAAATTTTGTATAAGCAGAGTTATAAGATTTTAAAGTTTCCAAATTTTGTCCGACCTATCCAATTGACTCTATCCACTGTGCGCCACTTGCCTTACCTCGCTGACATTAAGAGATTTCTGGGGGAGAAAAAAAACACCTGTTGAGATCTTGATTTGGAGTTGATTTCAGTTACTTTTGTCACGCGAATTGTGTTGCATATGAAATTTTTAAAATTAAACATACATCAAAATGCGTAAAATTATAATTTGTCCGATAGTTTATTAGAAATACATCGACGAAGCTACGATGGTCAAACAGGGACATAGAGAGACCGCGAGAGACTTAAACGCTCTACTAAGAAAATCAACCACTCGGATTCCATCGTTCATGTGGACGTGAAATAGAATCAATTCAAGATTCAAATTCATTTCAGCAATTCAGCACATTCTATGTTGAGTTTTGAAAATATGTAACATATCAACGGTGAAACTCCATTTTTCAATTTAGATTTTATATTTTAAAAAATGCTAATTTAACCACCCCCGTGGCTAAATTGGACGTATTTCTGTCAAACGGAACTAAGCGTCAATTTGGGTTCCTTTTGAAGAATTTAGAATACTGGATAGCGCGTTCTGTCAAACGGAACCAAGCTCCATGGAAAAGCATTGCGAGTATAGGACGGAATGAGCCCGACGCCTGGTTCCGCCGCCAATCCAAGCCCCCCTCTACCCTCCTCCCCCTACGGCGCTTGGTTCCGTTTGACAGAAATCCGTCCAATTAGCTTTAAAATATTGTAAAATATACATTGGGAACATATCGGGCATATTTTTTGACAATATTTTTAAATCAGCATTCCATTTTTCCCGTGTAAATAAAATCTGAATTTTCTTTTAAAATTCTTTTTTTTGTTGTTTTTTTGGTTTTTTTTTTGGCCACAACCCTTAATACATAACATGACGGAATTTACCTTCCAACAGCGACCGCCCCGAGTCCGAGAGCAGCCCCTCCGGCGACGAGTCCGAGGGCGGGGAGGAGAACGGATGAGGAACTAGCGACCCCGAGTTTCTCCTTGATGGTGGAGAGCTCCTTGCCGCCTCCGTTGAGACCCAGGTTCTGGGAGATCTTGTGCGTGGCCTCCACCAGGGGCTCCACCACCGGCCGCGTCAGGTCCGACACCCTCTCGATCCCGGTCTGCATCTGCTCCTTGAACGACTCGCTTATCCGCTCCCAGAACGGCCGGTTCTCGCTCACCTGTCAACGTCAAAAATCTTTGAGAACTTTTCACGCATTTCAAAGAGTGAGAGTCAGAAGGCTTAAATGGACCGCGTTTTTCGTCAATGACCATAGGCAAAGCTGTAAAAGCTACGTATTATCGTCGCTCCTCTGACGTAAGGGCGTATCTCGATATCCGCAAGAGCCCCCGAAAGCATGGATTTATTTGTAGAGCAGGGCTCACGTGGAAATCCAGATGCGCCCCTACGTCAGAAGAGCGAGGTTATGTGACACACCACAAAATTGAAGAATATTGCCCTGAATGGAGATGTTGCATGTGTGAGGAATTTGCGATTTGACCATTGATTCTTATGTAAAAGTTCGCGAGAAACACGATGGTGCCACTGGTTTTCTCTGAAATCATCTCTCAAGCTCAAAAAAAGCTCTCAAAGTGAGGCCAAAATGGAGGGGATATCCCACGCTATCCTGAAAGTCTACCTCTTCATCAAGACGAACTCTCCATGCAAAGATAGGGAGCAAATACATTGACAGGGCTACCACTTTATTTTGGGACTCCAAAACTGAAAACACGGCAACCCTGCTAATGTATTTGCTCCCTATCTTTGCATGGAGAGTTTGATTTGATGTAGAGGTGGACTCTCAGGATAGCGTGGGATATCCCCTTCATTTTGGCCTCACTTTGAGAGTTTGTTTTGAGCTTGGGAGATAATTTCAGAGAAAACCAGTGGCACCATCGCATCGTGTTTCTCGCAAACTTTTACTTAAGAATCAATGGTCAAATCACAAATCCCTTACACATGTAATATCTTCATTCTACAATAGACCTCGATTTTTTTCACTACATTTTTGCAATTAAAATTTTTCGTTTTTGGCTTGAAAAATAAAAGTCGCTGTTAAGCTTTAAATTATGTCCTCGTCAAACAAATGTACCATGGTACATGTAAGTACATGGTACCATGTCATGTTGGACATGGTACCAAGTTAAGCATTCTGATACATGTTTCTTAAACCAAAATTTCACGTAAACCATGATTCGCACGACGAAACTTACTGAAATTAACTCCTTACAAAGATATTTAATGTTGCAAGACGCGTGAATTCAAACCTCCCGCCCATGAAAACTCAATGGTCTACGCGAGTCAAATCGCACACCAAACGTTACCGTGGTAGTCTCCGCGGTGTGAAAATATGGCAACCTCAATCTTGAAGCTTTGGCACAGCTATATCAAATTGTTTACGGTTTGCACAAAAGGGTGAGAAAAGAGCAATGCTCGTTGAAAAAGCCCGCCGAAACCGTTGTAAGGCGCGATTTGACGACTCACGTGGAGTACTGCGTTTCTTATGACCGGTCAACTCAAATCTCCCGTAGCCAATCAACGGTGTAAGTCGGAAATCACATAACTCGGTTTGTGACGTCGCAGACTTCCTGTCATACTTTATTTTTCAAACGAAAAACTACTCAACTGCAATTCTTTAAAACTGCCGCGATTTTTCTTCTCTGTGCGAAGAAAATTCTACAAAAACTTCAAAGAGTGATGTCAATTTGTTCTCCTTTAAAAAAAATAACATAAAGGCGGAGATTTACAGAAACCGCAAGCAAGATATGTGATTACGGACTTACGCTGTTGATATACTCGAGAATGTTTCTGTTTATATCAAGTCACTTTTTTCTCTAACGAAATTCAAAAATTATGCTGAACGTAATTCAGTATGGATGCTAGGACTAAGTGAGTTTTTTGGAATATCGCTCTCTTTTTGTGCCATACTAATTTGATTTATTTTGCGAGGACATCTCTGTACTCTTAAAGGATGCCTGTCATTCTTGATACGCTTTCAATTTTGCATGATACTGTGTAACACCTTTGTCGCGCAATAGTTGCTTGAAGCGGCGCGGCGGGTAACTAGCGTGACACGCGCGCTAGCGCCTAAAAACCTAACAGGGATACTTCACGCATTGCGCAATGCTTGAAGTATCCCTGTTAGGTTTGTAGGCGCTAGCGCGCGTGTCACGCTAGTTACCCGCCGCGCCGCTGAATGACCCCTGAGTGGGGTTTTCTGATTCTAATTAATCGAGAATCCAAGAAAACAACATGACTTTACAACATGCTGGTTTTTTTAGAGAAACCATCGCATTCGATACTGACATCGAAACTGCGATCGAATGCGATATTTTCTCTCTAAGAAAACCACGCCTTCATTACGTTGAATTTCTTTGTTAAAATTGGTAAAAGAGTGCTTTAGTCTCTTGAAAACAGAATTGCGATCTCGAAATTGAAGAAAAATGACGAGTAGCTGAAAAAATGGAACCAACTGATGCGATATATCGTATGCCGTTCTGACACAAAATATGGCGTCCATCGAATCACCTTAATTTTAGTATTTTGGATGTTAAAACCGGGCTCTACGTGAAATTCTGGTTGAGAAACGTGTATCAGAATGCTTAAATTCGTACCTCGTCCAGTGGTCCATTCAACGGAAAATTCCAACTCACCTGGGCCTGGTAGTACGGGCTCGGGTAGCCGCTGATCTTGTAACTCGGGCCGCCCTTCGTGTGATACTTGTTGTAGGTTATATCCGGGTAAGGCGCATGAGGCGCATGGGGCGCGTGGGGCGCATGCACAGCCTGGTTATCATAGAAGTAGGATAGCGTCTTCTTCGGCCGCGAGAGGACCCCGGAGGTATCGCGCCCCTTTTTCGTGCTTCCAGTAGGCCCCGCCTCTGGCAATTCAACCTTGGCCTCTTCCTCTAGCCCGGGCTCAAAGGCGAACGGACTCCTATCAGCATGAATATCATGCGAGAAATACGCCAACGCCTGCTCCCTCCGCCCATCCCCTTTCAGCATGAGCTCATCATTGGAGGGCGCCGTGACCTTGGCCGCCTGGACGCCCAACTCCGGGTGAGCGTACTGCAGAACGGGCGTCCGCACACCGTCCTCGAAAGACACCCTCGAGGGCGCCTTCGAAGTGGGCGAATACAACAAGGAGTTCGGGTATACACTGTTCCCCGGGTTATGCAACACGCGGGACTGGATACCACCCGTCTTCTCGGTCGCGGTCGGCGTGTTGCGCACCATCCGGGCGTCACGGATCGTGAACTTCTTATTGTTGTTCTGGTTGTACATCTCCTGCTTGTTTATATTCCTGATGTAATCGATGATCTTGTCCGTCACGTATTTCTCTTCGTAATTGGCGGTCGTTTCGTCCTCGCGGATCCACAAGCCGGAAGGATGCTGCTTGTACTTCTCCCTTGCCACGGAGGGTTTCGGCGGAGATGGGTCGACCTTCTGCCAGCTGGGGTTCAGGTTCGACGAATCCGTTTTTAAAAACCCGTTCGAGTAGGGTTTACTAGTCACCAAACCGACGCGATCGTTGGAGCTGGGTTTCCATTTATTCAAACCCGGTTGCGGGAGTGTAACCTTGACAGTGCTCGTATGTAACGTCTGGGTGACTGGTTTCTTGATCTTCGACCACTCGTAACTAGCCGTTGCCGTTTTTGTGATATTGAAGGGATGTTTTTTGTTCCCCTTATCGTAAGGGACTAGAATCCCGTTGATGACTCTGGCGTTCCGCCAGACCTGTTTATCGCTTTCGTCATCCGGGACGCGAATCCCGTGAATGATAGGGATCCCGTCTGAGTCGATCTGTAGGCGTCGGCTGTCCCTGCTGGAGTTTTTCGCAGGGTTTTCTTTGACGAGGACGGTGCTGGAGTTGATGACGACCGGTGCCGGCAGGGGCGACACTGTCGATTCTTCTTTTGCGACGCTTTTCCCGACGCGGACTCGAGACCGGAGGCTCTCGATGCTTTGTCGCTCGGCGTCTTTTCGCTCCGCGGAGGGGTGGATCTCAGCCCCGGGAGGGATGAGGAGCGACCGGGCGCCCTCTTCGCGTTTCTTGACGATGAGCGTGGCGATGTCCCCGGTTCGAGTCCGGACGGTCATCGTCTCCGTCGCGTCCGGGTTGAGGCTACGGGCGATCTTGACCGAGGTTCGGGTTACTTGTACTTGAGGTTGGGCCGGAGGGTTTGAGTTTGGGTTGGGGTTTGGGTTGTCTGCCACGCTTAGCTGCAGCAAGGCTGACAGCAGCGTCACCAAGAAGTACCATCTCATCTGAAACAGACAAATGACGAAATGATTAATTAAATATCATAACATGCAACATCATAACATGCATACTATACAATACATACGATATGATAACATGCTAAGTAAGAACGCCGTACGAGTCTTCAGGCGTCGCCAAAAATTCCTCCAACAAATTACGAATTTTCAGGCTTTGTGAATGTTTCCACTCCGATTTTTCGCAGGATCTCTTTCGAAATTTGATCTAAAAAGTTTTAAAATGTTGAGGAAAAATATCCATAACTTTCTTCGAAGATACACATTTTCAAAGGACAAATTTGGCAACGCACAAATGCTTACACGGCGTTTTTACTTAGCATGGCAGAACCTGAACAGAATACCATGTATGACTGTCTACGAGGAAAAGGGTCTTGCGGCCGTGTTGAGCAAGAACGTCGTATGAGTTCAAATTCTGTCAATTTCTCATCGACAAAATATTTATTTTTGAGGAAAGTTATGCACATTTTTCCGAGAAATTTTCAGATGATTCTGATTAGGTTGATTGCAAACAAAATTGGGTGAAAAATTGGAGGACAAATTTCCAAAATTTTCCCAGTGAATTCGTTTCTTATCGATGGAAATAAAGCAACGCCTAAGACTCACACGAGCTTTTTCTCAGAACGACAGCCTAGTCCATTGAAGTGAGCATTGAGCTATTGATACCGGAGCACAAAAAAGTGCTCTGCGAATAGTGTAAGATTAAAAACGCCTTACTTTCCCTGTAAAATAGTGTGCATCCATCACTACTTTACCATCTTGTTACAATCAAAGACACAGGAAAATGTGGAAACAAGGCTAAAATATAATGTTGGTTTGTTATATGCGGTTAAGGCCACATTTTTAGTGGTTATTTCTTGCTCATAGAAATAGATTTAAACGATTTAAAAAAAAAGAAAGCCATATCATCATAACATTAAATAAACTTTTGTCGGCACGATTGAGGTTGTTCTTATCGTGTTGTTTGTTTCTTTTCGTAGATGAGTATTTTCTCGGATGAAGCAAAAACAGATGTCATTACTTTCCGACCAAAATGACACAAGCGCCATACGACGTTTAAAAATTTCCGCCGCCATTTTACTTTTTTACAGAGCAGAAATTGTCCGACGAAGCTGTCCGAAAATTTCACTGAATTTTCTTTGCGCTGCTGATAAAATCCTGTAAAATACTCAAGCAGATTCGACCAACAATTTCTCTGTGAAAAAAAAAAAAATGGCGACGGAAATTTTGAAATTTCACATGGCGCTTGTGATACCTCGACCGGAAGGTGACCATGTGCTGGTAATGATTCAGATTTTTTCCTAAAGAGAGCACCAAAAGTGCTAAGTAATTTGCAAACGAGCATCTGCTCACCTGCTCGTGATCCAAAGGCGGAATTCAACTCTGGGAGAATTTACGAGGAGGTCGACCTTGAACTCAAGCGTGAAAGATTTCACTCAAACGTCGTCAGCTCACGCGGTCGAGGCGCATAGACGTCACGAACGTCACGCATCACGCCACACCGAGCCGGGTGAGCAGTGGTGGTCGCGCGGCGCGCAGCGGTAGGCCGTACATGACGTGTTGCTGGAGCGAAGCGATCTTAACCAGTAACCCAGTGCCCTGGAGCGCGGATATGCCCTCTCCCGGCGGTAGCATTCTTTTCGTCACTAATTGGACGTGTTTCTGCCAAACGGAACTATGTGTATTATGACGTGAGCTTTGTTGTGCGTATATTCTTTTGGGTCTCAGGGTTCATGTTGAAATGCACATAGTTCCGTTTGACAGAAATACGTCCATTACTACGTCATTAATTGGACGTATTTCTACCAAACGGAACTACGTGCATTATGACGTGAGCTTTGTTATGCATATATTCTTATGGGTATCAGGGCTCATGTTGAAATGCACATAGTTCCGTTTGGCAGAAATATGTCCAATTAATGACAATTGATGAGAAGAACCTATACTTCAAAAATATCCTAAAAATCTAAAACTTCGTATCGATGGTTATAACCATGCATCTCCATTGCGATGTGTCAAAATTTCCGGTCCTGTTTTATTTTTTAGGAGAGCAACAAGGTAGCTTTATAGCTTGAAATTTTTACATAGACTACTAACAGAGAGAAAAAATTGCGGAATTTTTAAGAAATTTCGTAATGAAAAAGTCGTCAAGAACAGAAAGTCTGCAACGTCGTAAACGGAGATACGTGGTTTCGCACTATGGCCATCGAAATTTTGCTGATTTTGCGTGTTCGCAATCCATTGCGAAATGGACGGATTTAACGAAAGCCTGTTTTACATGTACCGCCTCTTTTTCTTTCTCGTGTTGTATGCATCGCCAAATTCAGAGTTGGTATGACACCCGTACTCGCAATAGCGGCTTTTCTGCCGTGCTAAGGAAGAGCGCCGGATGAACATCGGCCGATCGAATCACGTGAATCGCGATCCCTCACTTGTGACTTTTAAGCGAGTTCTTGTGCGGATGATGTGCAATTCGTGATTCTGGAGGCTCCTAAGGGCGCAAAAACGACCGTTCGGCCGATCGAATCACGTGAATCGCGATCCCTCACTTGTGACTTTTAAGCGAGTTTTTGTGCGGTTTATGTGAATCTTGTGATTCTGGAGGCTCCTTTTACTCATCGATGAAATCACGTAAATGTACAAGGAAATTAATGGTACAAATGTGTTTACCACAATGAGCCAAAAATAGTATTTCCTTATCGCAAACCGTAGATTGAGATGCTCACTCCAAATAGACTACATTTTGCAAGAATGAAGACAGTTTTTGGCTCAGATTAAAACAAAGTATGTACCATTAGTGAAAATACCATAGCTGAAAATCGTAGTTCCTGATTGCAAAATGTAGGCCGAATGGGCCGTACATTTTGCAGGAAGTACTACTTCTGGCCCATCAAAAAAAGCATTTACCTGCATAGGGAAATTTGTTGCACACATTTTGTTTCTAAAATGAGCTAGAATTAGTGTTCTTTGTTTCAAAATATAATCTCAGTATTTAGAGGCAGGTAAATGAATCCTCATATCGAAAAAAAAATGTGATAACTATGGCACTACCACAATGCCAAAAGGTACCTAACTCCATTTTAGCCGTTCCGAAATATCGAGGGAAAAAGTTTTCCAACGCCTTTCCTTGCCTCGTATCTGCATGTAAATGCAATACGAGAAGAAGAGACCTATGTTATTTTTCTTATGTCGTGCTCTCTCAGATTCCAGCAGAGAAGTTGAAGGCGAACGTTGAACCGGAAGTGAGATATGAAGGCCAAAATCAAAAAAATTGGAGTTAGGTACCTTAGGACTCTGGACTGGAGTTAGGACTCTGTAAAAAAATTAAGTTAGGCACCTTCCGCTATCTCGCTACCCCCGTTAGATACTGGTACCAAATGTTTCTCACATAAAAAACTCATGCTGAGCCTGGGCATGTCAAAAATGCAAATAATTCGATTTTATCAAACATGTAAGTTAGGTTTTTTTTGGCTCTTAAGTACTGATATCATGGATCAGGGGAAATCCATTTATTCATTTTATGCTGATAAAAAAAAAAATATTTAAAAAAAAATTAATTCAATTATTTGCGACCAATATTACATCACATCGACGATTATTCAATATTCACGTAACTGGGCTGAATGAACAGTCTCAGAATTTTTTTAAGGTGTCCCGGACTGAAAAAATTTCTCCCGGATTCACCTGCAAATAAAAGGCTGCCTTTCTCTCTGCGCAGCAAAGCCGGATTTTGCGAAAAAAACCAACCGTCAAGGCTAGCATACTCATGAGTCAGCATTTTGCAAATACCTGCCAACTAAAATCACGCCTTTGAAGTCCGCGAAAAAAATTCGCGTCGCCACGGAATTTATCGCGCGGAAATTTAATCCTTCCTGATATCAGTGGGTCGCGGTAAACCCTCAAATTTCTCCAGTAATTTTGGTTCTTTATTTTCTGAGCTCGTCCTTTCTTCCGTGACTCTACTGGATGTATAGTTTTTTATAATTCTCTCGCTGATCAAAAGATTAAATCAGAATTCAACAACGTTACGGAACCAGTTTTCGATACAAATTTGCATGATGCTGAAAAACGAGAATTTTTAAGTTTCAGTAAAACTTTACAAATTTTAACACGAGATTGAAAGGTAAGAATTGAGAGACTTGGAGAACAAGGCGCATAAGTGCAATTTTTGCTAGTTTGAGAGAAACGTGTTTGAAGTTTCGAAATTACACGTATCCATATGGCGGAGAAAAAGTTCAAACTGATTTTTTGATGCTCGAAAATTAGAATTTGGGAGTGATTTTTCACAGAATAGGCATTCAGACTAGTGTTACTTGAAATCATTAATATCTCAATTTATTAAAAAACTGCACTTGTCCTCCAAGTCCCTCAATTTTAATGTTACAATAATTGGATTCAATTTAATGATCAGGAACTACAATGCAAAGAATTGTCCTGTTAAATGGACTACATTTTGGGATAGGGATCTATAATTTTTGGCGAAAAAATTTCAACATATTTTCAATTAGTTCACTCATGCAGATGGGCGATTTTATGCAACAGCAAAAATAGTATTTCTCATTTGCAAATTCGGTTTAACGATGCCACGATGGTAATTCCTTTTTGTCCAAAGGAGGGAGTGTTGCATCAAAGAATTTCAAATTCAGCTTTACATATTCCCTCACCACGAAAAAAATTTGCATCTTTAAAGTGCAATGAGGGCCGCATAACGAATTTTAAAACAACTTTGTGCTCTATCAAAAGTTCAAGTTTCTCCGTTTGTCAGTAAAGACTGATGAAGAAAGTTTCTATAAATCTTAAAAATGTTTGTTGGTCTATAAACTTCAACCACTATCGCAAGATCCTGTAACTGACCCATTAACCTGCAATCAACGATATACGAACAACTTGACACTCTAATTAACTACACTAAGCAGATGGCGAACATTAAGATTTTTAAATCTACGTGTTAAGTAGTGGCGTTTGGAACAGGCTATAAAGTCGCGATGACT